TTTCAATGATAAAGTATATTACATTAGCTTTAATTTAATATATATATATATTATGTAATATATTAATAATAGATATATGTAGAAAGATACATTACAGAATTTTCTTGTGTACTATTTAGCACAATTTAAGAAAGAGTTTCATACGTATCATTTTGACTATCGACGATCTTTATACAAACTGTCTAAAAGAACTAAGTAAGTTTGTATCATCCCAATTATTTAGAACTAATAATCTGAGTAAATAACGATAAAGTAATAGATCAATACCCTATTTAGTAATTTTACTAATGTGTTGGCATTTTATACGTATAAACATTATAAAGTCTTGAGGGTTGGATTAGGGTCTTTACTTAAAAATAATCTTGTAAGTTAAAATTTCCCAATAAAAACTTGTAAATTTTTTTTTATAAATATTTATCAAATAAATTTCATATTCTTAAAGGATTACTGTAATGAATCAAAATAGAAGTTTCGAGACTATCCGAGAAACTTCTAGAATAATCTTTACACAAATAATTATCAATTTTAAATACTTTTCTGACCGACTATTATTTTATTACTTTTTACAAATACATCGTTCATTTGGAGCGATGTTTACATTAATGTCCATCTTTTTAATTACCATAAGCGTATCTGTGGCGCCGAACAGACGGCAAGATTAAATAGTTAAATTTTTAAGAAAAACTAGCCTCCCTTCATTACCTTACCAACTAATTTAATATAAAAGGGCTAGTAAAATTAGCACAGACACTCTCTTTCCATTTTATCTCTCTCGCATACTCTCACTTTCATTTTCACTTATTATTCCCCTCTCATATTAAAAGTTAATAATGTAAAATTCACGTTACTTTTGTTAATTTTAAGACTTATATATATTTGTCAAAATAATTAATACAAGTTATAGAAATAAACTCCGTATGTTGCCCCTCATATCTGTATTTTTATTTATTTAAATTAACTTAAAATATCGACATCAACAAGGAACATCACAATTCACCATCTATCTACGAATCCATTTGGACATCAAGGTAAGTGTAGTCTTAAGACATGCACTATATTCATGTAATATTAAGAAATAGGACAGAGTGGATAAGAGGTAGGATTAAGATGATATGAATGAATCTAATACAATTCAAATAACTTATAATCCCTTTCCTACTATCTCTATCTTATCGCTCACCCCCCTTTATTTACTTTTTATTACATTACATTATACATATACATAATGTATATTATGTATCACATAATTTAGAAAAAATATATTGAAATGTATTAATTGAACAGTACAAAACTGGTATCTAACATTCAAAATGTTATCTAATCCATTCGTCTATTACAGTTACAACTTAGATTATTATTTAATTAGTCAAAGTATTACTCTTTGATAATATTTTCGGTAATTCTTTTTGTAAGCATTGAATTTATTTGATTTTGACCTTGATCTTTCAATTTCGTTTAAAAATCCAACCTTTTTAATAGACTAAACTATATTATAAAATTAAAAAACGATATTTTTGGGAACATAATAAAATAGTATACTTAATAAAGAAATGAATATTTAATCCATAAAGGCAAAAATGAGAAAATCTAAAGACATCGTATTAAGAGGACGTTATACAGCCAATTTTAGAGCGTAAAAACATGTCTTTTTAAAATGCATTTTACACACTAAGTACTGCACTTAGAGCAATAACACCCATTATAAAAACGAAAGAGAACAATATTTTGGAGATGATCTCATATGTGTTTTTGGATATATTGTATTAGTAAAGAGTTATAATTGATTGAAGTTTAATAAAAAAGTACATTTTCAAATTCAGTTATCAAGCTTAATATTAGGTTAATCCCAAAATGGCTATAAGATTTTCTTCGAAATATTGTCCTCTTTCAATTTTGTAATAGGTGAAAGCTCTAAATGTAATACAGAGTGAGTAAAATGTATTCTTTTAAGATATGTTTTAGACCACTTTTGTAGATTTTTTTGCCGACTAGTGCTGCTCCTATCGATTATATTTTAAAAATATTGACAGATGATAGTGCGGCGTGCGGTGTGGNTATCGATTATATTTTAAAAATATTGACAGATAATGTTGCGGCGTGCGGTGTGACTCGATATTTCGCCGAAAATGTTATCAATATTTCTTTAAATAATTTTGCTAACACGTGCGGACCAATTTTATTATGCCCGCATTCAATGTTTGAATTGTTATTACTTTTCAGAATTTTTATTAAATATCGTGTTCCGGATGACAATATAATATCTGATTTTCTCCTATTACTAGTGAATAAAGATATCATGCTAAGTCCTTTGATGTGATTAAAAAAAATCATAAATGTATCCCCAACTATGCTTTATGTGCTTAGAGTGAATAAAGCAAAACTAATTTCGTCTATCTACTGCAGCACTGCGCGAGTTGTACGAAATGTTTGCAAGCATTTAGGCTAAAATCATTATTAAAGTGTGGTGTTGTACAAGGTTTTTTAAATGGGTAATAAAAATAATAAAAAAATATTTTCTAATAAAAAAAAAATTACCCGTCAATTAGTTTTAAAATATATAATAAAATATAATATATATAAAATATAATATAATAAGATATAATAAAAATTCAAAGTAAGTATATTATTTATTGATGTAATAGCGATCGCTGTAATACAATCAGATCCATAAAAGGGCAGATAGACAATTCTTCATTGATGGGGAAATATTAGATAGTGTCCCAACTAAAAAATGTTTTCACTTCGCAATTCATCGTTGTTCCTGTGCTCATTTTTAATATATTCAAGAATTTTTAGCTTCGATGCGAAACTGAGAAGAAATTAATTTTACTATCATGGTGTTTTTTTTTGTGTCTGTCGCCAACTTTTCTCAGCTTTTACTGGACCGATTTTAATGAACAATATGTCAAAAGATTACAAATCGAATTTTGTTGAAAACATTGCTCTCGAAAATTGAAAAAATTTACCCCGTAAATTGAACAAATCTCAAAAAAATTATGACTTGAAATCGACAAATTTTAACATTTTTCATACTTTTTTGATAAAAATAGCCATAACTTTCTGAAAAATAAATAGATCAAACAAATTTTTTATGATTGATATATTAGATATATCCTTTTCATTTGGTGTTATTTTTTTTGAAAACATAAAAAAGATTTTAAAATGCGCCTTTTTTTTGAAAAAATAACTTTTTAAACTTAACTTTTGAAAATGTTTTAAATTTTTAAAAGATAAATGATCATCATAATGGCTTATTAAATTATTTCTGTATTTTAGCTTCGATGCAAAGCTGAGAAGGTATTGGTTTTACTAAGATGTGTTTATTTTTTTTTTTTTTGTGTCTGTTACCACTTTTTCTAAGCTCTCACCGAACTGATTTCTTTCAATGATACGTCAAAAAATCACAAATCGTATCTAGTCGAAGACATTACCCTCAAAAATTGAAAAAAATTCCATCGTTCCCCGTAAATGGGGGAAAACTCCAAAAAAATTACAAATTTAAAAATCGCTAATATTCAAAATTTTTTCAATTTCGACTTCGTCTCCTATGGAATATGGAAAACAAATGGAAGATATTGCAATTAATTCACTCGAAAAAATAATAAATAAAAAATTGAAAAATGTGGTTTATTTATTGATAAAATAATTCCATACTTAGCTGCAACTCCAGGTATATTTTTGATATAATAAAGCTAAACAATATGATATATTATTTAAATAAATACAAATAAAAAATTACAAACTATTTATCAAAAAACGATGTATGTTTGAATTATTTAGATGGGCTAGTAGAAACAAATAGTATAGTTGAAATTAAATGTCCTTTTGCGGTAAGAGATTGCGGTACTCTCGAGGAAGCAATTTGATCAAAAAAGGTTTGTAAGCAATCATCTTACATTATTTAGTTAATATTTTAAAAATTAGAACTAATTATAATGGTATATTACGGACCCTCCAATAACATATTATAGATATGATGTATTTTAATATTTTTAATTTTACTTTTGATAAGATATCTTACATAGTTGGTAAAAAGGAAAATTACCAACTCAAAAAAGACCATCAGTATTATTTTCAAATACAGGGACAACTGCACATAACTGATCGTCAAAAATGTTTTTTTTATATTTACACTCCAAAATGGACTTACTTACAAATTGTTGAACGCGACGACCAGTTTTGGAGTACAAAAATGGAATCTTTTCTAACTTTGTACGTATGTTGAAAATACGTAATAATATTCATACTTATATATTTGTATAATGAAATCTNAAAGAGGAACTTGCCTATCGAATATTAACATATTGTGTGGTGTTCATCATTACCAATTGGATTACGCATTAACTGGCTCCCCGCCTGTCACGCGGGAGACCGGGGTTCGATTCCCCGCCGGGGAGCCAGTTAATGCGTAATCCAATTGGTAATGATGAACANCTAATAAACGTGATAAAAATGTTTGAATTAAAAAAAAAAAGATAATAAATTATGTTTTAGATTTTATGAAGATTGTTTACTGAGAGAAATTATAGATCCATAGTACAGTAAGCGATTGTTAAAAAGTGATATTATTGATCCACCGTATATAAAAGAAAATATTATAAAGTATGATCTTTCAAAAAAAAAAAAGTTAAAAAATAAACATTGACCATTACAAAAAAATAAAAATGAAATATATTTTGTTCTTTTTTTTTTGTTCCTACAGTTATTATAATCATTTTTTATAGTTGTAAATTACGAACGATCAGTTATTAAATATTGTGTTTATTTAAGTTCAAGTACGTTCAGTAAACATTGTTCACTAAGTATAAAAATCACAGAGAATGTGGTGTTGTTTTGAAAATTATATCTATCATTGATATCATATCAGAATTATCAATTCGAGAAAAGCATGTTTTTAAAGTGCATTCGACAGTAATCATGTTTTACCGATCGTATACGAATGCACAAAAACTCAAAGCAATGCATATGCGCGTAATACGATAAAAACGCGGAATATGATAATGTGTACTTCTAATTCATTTTACTATGGTTGCAACAACACTGAACCAGTTTACAATGATTCACAAGAGATGGTTGCTATAGTGTGGTAGTAGGGGCTAACGGTGTGACCTTGCCGCCGATATGGAACACAACGCCATCTCTGGAGCGTTGTATGCGTATCGTTTTTACTAGAACGCCCTCTTAAGTTATTATTTTATACCATCCACTGCAGATATGTAAATATGGCTTTATCAAAAAAAAAAAATTTTCAAAACGATGAAATTACGCAATTTTGGAATAAAATCGATAATATAAATATATACATGTATTGCTCAGCTAATAAACATTGCACCACTAAAAATAACAAAATAAAACGTGTACATAAATCGATTCTCAACGATAAAATGTGCTGTTTTGGCCTTTATGACTGTGCTGATTTTTTTGGAAAAATTCCATAATTATGAGTTGGTAAGAAAACGAAACAGTAATCTTTTAATTATCATTACTTTTTATAAAATAAAAATTAAATAAATTAAAGTAAATTGTCGTAGTATATCCAATGATTTGCATTACGCATCTTACATTTATACTCTATTTATTCTTTATACAGTCGAGTCGCGATAACTCGAACCTCAATAACTCGAAGAACTCAACAACTCCATTTTTTTTTAATTCCCTTAGAAATTATAATAACACTCAATGTATTGAGTCTTGTTAACTCGAATATAAAATTGTGATGAATAGCTTAGTCGAAGTATATTTTTATATCTTCTATATCTGGATATTCTGGGTATTTCATGATAATTGTGTTCATTATTATGTATTATGTTTTATCTACTTCAGTACTGTATAATAAAGATTAAACGAGTAGATAGAAACTGATTATTAGCGCACACACAATAATAATAAGTATGTATTGGTTAGTATGTGTCTATACTCTACCTGTCGTGTTTGTCGTGCGTATTTTTTAATGTTTTTAAACATGTCTCAAAAACGAAAATTAAACGATTTAACTATAGCTGACAAAATTTGTGTGATACAATTGGTGGAGAAAGGTAACCGGAAAAAACAAGACAGCATTGTCGACATTTTTAAAAAATAAGGCGGATATTTTAAAAAAATTTGAAAACAATAAAGGTGACTGTAAAAGATCAAAACCAGCAAAATATCCAAATGTAGAGGTATGTTTATTCAAATAGTTTACTCAATGTAGAGATAAAAATATACCTATATGTGGATCAATACTAAAAGAAAAAGCAGAATATTTCGCAACTCAATTTGGTTATTTTAATTTTAAAGCAAGTCAAGGCTGGTTAGGAAATTGGAAAAATCGTCATAACATAATTTTTTGTAAAATATGTGGTGAAAGTGCTTCTGTAAATGACTCTTCATGTAATGAATGGTTAGGAAAGTTATCAAACATCATAAAAGAATATTCTCCCGATGATGTATTTAATGTGGATGAGACAGCATTATTTTTTAAATGCCTACCCGACCGCACTTTTATTTTGAAAGGGGAAACTTGTTCAGGTGGCAAACAAAGCAAGGAACGGATAACAATTCTTTTAGGATCAAATATGTCAGGTTCCGAAAAAATTAAACCACTTATAATCGGGAAATCAACTAAACCACATTTTTTTTTTATAGGAGTTGGGTTGGGTTTGAGTTTACCATTAGATTATGAGTCAAACAAAATGGCATGGATGACTGGTGATTTATTTAAAAATTGGCTTATAAAATTTGATCAAAAAGTGTGACTAAATCAAAGAAATGTTTTATTATTTATTGATAACTGTACAGCTCATTGTAATATCAATTTAAAATCTGTAAAAATCGATTTTTTACCTCCAAATACTACATCTAAACTACAACCGATGGATCAGGGAATAATACAAAATTTCAAAACATTATACCGCAAAGAAATTATTCGAAAAATTGTTTACGATATTGATGAAGCCAGACCATGTTCAATAAATCTATTACAGTCCATGCGTATGTGTGAAAAAGCATGGCGTAATGTACAACAAAGTACAAGTGTCAATTGTTTCAAAAAAGCTGGAATCTATTTTAATGATGAGCAGTGTGATGGTGATGGTTTAGAAAACAATGACGATGATGATGCAGAAGATGATTGGCAAATTGTAGCAGATAAACTTAGTATAGATCAAGAGTTTACATTTCAATCATATGTTACAATCGATGATAATGTTGTAGTCAGTGGAATGTTAATTGATAACGAAATCATGGGTATAAATATATCGAATAGTGGTTCCGAAAATAATGAAAATGATGAGCCTGAAACAACTTTAAATATGATTACGGCGAATCAAGCAATGTCATCATTACTAACTGTTAGACAATTTGTTGAATCTGTCGAAGGCGTGAATACTTCTATTTTCGAATCCATAGACAAATTAGAAGATTTTGTCAATAAACAGCCAAAAAATCAAAAACTATTAACAAATTATTTTTCTACTGTATCTCATAAATAATACATGTGTACATACTTATAATTTCATTGTATTTATTTTTTTAATTTTATTTAGTTTTTGTATAGCATTTATGTATAAACATAAATGTATTATATTTGTCATGACGTTTTTATCGTATAATTTTAAAATTATATTTCATTACATAGGTAACTCGAAGTTTTGATTTTATTTTGATAAATTCGAGTTAGGTATCTCGAATAATACATATCTCGAGGTGAATTTTTATCCCCTTTCAACTTCGAGTTATCGCGACTAGACTGTATATATACATATTAAATTTATAATTGTATACTATGAATCTTATCTTCAGATAATAATCATGTTATGATCAATTTAATACAATAAACTGAATATCACTAAAAGCACTGACGACAACATCCCATGATACCAACTTGTCTTTAATGTTCTAAACCCTTGGACTCTACATCACCGATAGAACATCGTCGCCTTTAACTCTTATTTTAAATTACTAAAAAAATAATTTAGGAAGTTCTGGTTTTACTGTTTGATTTGTTATTGTGACCATTTTAATAAAGTTAAAAAACAAATAAGAAAGTTTTTTTTAGTATTTTTTCAAATTTTTTAAAAAAGGCGTTTCTTTTTGTTATTAAAATATCAAAATTTCTAAAATCTATAACATTTTTAGCTTAAAGATGATTCATCTTGAAGGAACAGTCTACAAATGTTCACAAATCTTATAATAAAAATGAGATTTTTTTAAAAAAAGTAATATATTGTTTTATAAATTTTTTTGTAAACTTGTATTATTGGTTCAAAAATTAATTCTCATAAATATCTTATAAAAAAAATTAAATTCCATCACATTTAAAGAAAATAAATTGTAAAAATTACTCATAAAGTAAATAATCAACTAGATATTTAGGAGTGTAATATGTCTGAACTTTCACATCAAAATCCTTATCATCATCATTGTTCATGTCATCATTTTCATCATTTGGGCTATGAATATGTTTTTTTATATCATTTATATTAATACCAGGAAAATAAAGTGAACGATATATGTCTTCATGATTTTCAAATAGTTCTAAAAACAAAACTTTAAATTACAATTTTCGTATAAAAATACAAATATATTTATTATAAATAAATAATCTTATTATTATATATTAATGAATAATAATAATGGAGTAAGACACAGAATGAAGTGTGGGTGTGTAGAAAAGAGCATCTGGTGTGTGATAAGAAAATTCTAATGAGACTGAAAGGTAAGTTCTATATGGGTGTAGAAAGACAAGCTATGATGTTTGTTTCAGAATGTTGAGGGGAAGACTAAAAAGTTAACCTGAGACGGGAATGCTTAAATGATGCGGGAAATCGTATCAAGTGGAAATTAAGAATAAGAGGGCTGACCCCTACAATTTTTATACTATGTCAGAATATGTAGTGAAAAAGAGGGTTTTTTTCCTTTTTCCGGCTACTGATTAACAACATTTACATTTGTTGTAAAAAAAAAGATTTGCACATAGTATGATGAGTCATTGCTAGTGTTTTAACGATACTCTTGATAGATAATTTAAATACTTAATTGAGGCATCGAGATAAAAAAGACATTAAACATATATATTTATTTAAAATTTCGTCCAGTTTTAAGTGTTATTTTATTTATTCTAGCTGTTATATTAAATCAAATATCAATTCTTTATTAAAAAGTATTAAATACGACATAAATTTTAAAATTTAATATTGTAATTATTCTTTCTATGGCAATCATTTATAAAAGTTAAAGACCTTGATGCAATACTTGTCAAAAAAAAATGTACTATTACCATTTAAATTATAAATCAATTTACTGATCTACCAGAAATTTTTTAAAACCATTATAGCGCCGATTTCAAATCATCAATGAAGTTTAGCATATATATTTAATAATAACAAAATTCTTATAATTGATGTATAAAATATTTATGTTTGTGTATTAGGTTACGTATGAATAATTAATAATTGTATTTTAATTAAAAAAAATACGTCCAAAAATAATTTATTATGTGTAGTGTATTAATATAAATAATTATTTAAACACAAAGAGTTACATAGAAATAACTATAAGACTTTTTTTTGAATGGTCTATTACAAAAAAAATAGTGATTTTAACGAATTGTTGAGTTTTCCTCATAAATTTACTATAAATAGTTTTAAAGTTTTAGTTGAAAAAAAAAAATTTTTGTGCAGAAGTTGCTATTTCAAATGACCCCGTGTGTGCAGATAATGGGTCACATTTTCAAAAAGTTTATATTATAGTAATGAAAAATACCTAATGCTTAAATATGAAAAAAATATTTTGATTCGTTCATTTTTCATAATGTTATGGTGTTTTAAGAAAAAAAAAAATTAAAGATTGTCTAAATTTACCGATTTTAAAAATTTTAATTTTCCAGGAATTTTCTCCAATTACAAAGAACAAAGGAAATTTTTTCAATTTTTAAAGAATGAGTCTTCAAGTAGACACGATTTGTAATCTATTGATGTATCATGGAAAAAAATTAGTCTGGAGTTAGCTGAGAAAGAGTGGCAACAGCAAAAATAAAAAGCACATCATAAAAAAATTAATACCTTCTTAACTTCGTATTAAAGTTTATAAGCAACAATTAATTTGTTATTTTACTATGATGTGTTTTTTTTTTTTTGTACCTGTTACCACTATTTTCAGGTCTCACAGAAACAATTTATTTCAACGACACATCAAAAGATTAAAGTTTTTACCCTTAAAAAATAAAAAAAATTCCTCTCGTTCCTCGGAAATGGAAGAAATCTCCAAAAAAATTACAAATTTAAAAATAGCTAATTTTCGAAAATTTTCAATTTTTTTTTACTTAAAACTGCCATAACATTATCAAAAATGATCAAATAAATAAATACAGGGTGGCCCACCACTCACTGACAACATAAATATCTTTTGATCCAGTTAATATTTTTAGCNTTAAATAACTTTTGATCCAGTTAATATTTTTAGCTGATTTTTTTTTTAAATAATAGTTATACGTTAGGTCTATAGCTATATCTCAATAATTAATTTTTTTACATTTTATTAAAAAACGCTATCTTTTCAATATACTTTTGAATGAGAGTGATAAGTAATAATTGCCTTATCTAATTTCTTATCATGGTATTAATGACAAGTTTGTAATGTATACACATTATCATCATATGTATACCCAATAATCATGAAAAGATAGCGTTTTCTTCTGTCCTTTTCTCAATACGAATTTCAATGTTTAATACCGTAAAATAATACATGAAAAATCAAATTTTCACAAACTTCAAAACGCTACAGAATATTTACTACACAATATTAATAAGATATTTTTTTACTAAAATTTTTCTTAAATTCTACTCTACAAAATAGCTATCTTAGATTTTTTTTTTACTTTTTATTTAAAATTTAAAAATAATTAATATTTTTAATAAAATGTAAAAAAATTAATTATTGAGATATAGCTATAGACCTAACGTATAACTATTATTAAAAAACAAAATCAGCTAAAAATATTAACTGGATCAAAAGTTATTTAAGTTGTCATTGAGTGGTGGGCCACCCTGTATATTTATTTATAGATGCATGATGTCTTTACCTATCATTTGGTATATTTCTTTTTTATAAATCTGTCACTTTACCTGCGCACAGGAGGGTTTTTAAATGACATCTTTATTACAAAAATTTAACTTTTCAATTTAAATTTTGCAAGTGTTTTGGAAACTTTGACACTTTTATATATATTTTAAATTAAAGATAATGTAATGTACTATATTAAGTAAAAAAAAAAAAATTTTGGTCTCTCATGGTGAAAACTATCAATAAGTTGATAAAAAAATAATAATATTTTTCTAAAAAATTCTTTTTTATATTTTTAATTTTATAATGCTATAATTTTTTGAAAAATATATGGATCAATACAATTTATATACTTCTTTCATACTTTTTTTTTTAAATAAAACCAATTCCCATTATATATTTAAATATTATAATATATATAAATATATATATATATTCATATATTACATTTATAAATCATAAAAATTGCAATCAGGATATAAACATGATAATAAGATCTTGTACCTTTTCGAATAATCTACCAATTTTCTAAAATTAAACACTATCTACAGATTTGCATCGAAGCGTTTTTTATGATAGTGATTTTAATCACTGTCAGATATCATCTATACTGGACTCAACTATGCCACGTCGTCATTTAGCCCCGACCCCATTGTGCTGGGTTTTTTTTTATTTAATTATAATTAAATAAATAATTATTAATTAAAATGTTCAAAAGAGTAATATTTTATTAATTTGCAGTATTTATGTCATTAACCCTATATAAAAGTGAACAATTGTAATTTTTTTAAAGATAATTTTGATACCTTGTTAAATTTAAGAAATTAAAGATTGCATTAAACATATCTAAATTCTATTTTACATAAAATTTTACTATTAAAAATTTTCAATGCACAATTTATTATGTTTTGTCTTATATACATCTTTATCTTTATATAAAAATATCATAGTATTTTTAGTTAACTTATTATTTGATGTATAAATATCATAATAGTTATTATTATGATAATTATGGATATCAAACAGCAATGAAGTTAATAAAAATCAAAACATTACGTTTTAGAAATTTGCATTAACTTACTATAAGGAATATTTTGTTTTATAGTATTAATAGTGACTCGCCAATCTATATATGAATTATAATAAAAATGATTTGCTATTTCAAAACAATATTGATATCTTTTTAATTCTGAAACGTACAATGTAATTTTATTTATTTCCTCAGTAGCTATACTATATATTTTATTAATATTGAATTTTGTGACATTTATATTCTCAACAAAAGTATTATTCACAAATAATTTTCTCATGTATGAATAGTAAGTTTTTGATATATTTTGCGTTTCACTATTTGTAATCAAATCATTACGTTCTTTGAATGATGAAATAACTTCATATGTCTTAATAAACATACAGCTTAAGCTTTTTTTTAAATAATCTTGATATAAGTTTAAATCCATAAATGATTTCATACTATTAATAATTTGTTGACCCAGTTCAATGATTTTATCTTTCAAAAGAGTTTTTGATTCGCTAACTCGAAATTTAAAAATTGAAACAAAATTATGAACCAAAAAAATATATAAACGTACAATCAACATAATTGGACGAACTGTTGCCATGTATAATAAATTTAAAAATACTTGTACATTTTGAAAGTTAAAGTCAAACTTGATGAAACGAAACATATCGGACAATTTTATTTGTTGATTATTATTATTCTTTAGTTTTAACGGAGCATATCGAACAATGTCTAAAACATCAATTACTTGATTGTCACTGTTATATCTAACATATTGTTTTGCTTGGGAACCTGATATCATGTCTAACTCCGAAAAAGGGGAACGATTTTCCATAAAATCATAAAACAAAACATTTTTAGGATTGAAATTATTGTATAATTTTTTTTCAAAAGTTAACGCTAAATGTTTTATTATCTTACAATATCTTTTTAATATGTTATTATCTGTTCCCGCAAACATATCTCTCAAAGTTAAATATTCTTTCATATTTCTAATTATTTTACTATTAAGTTTCTCGAGTTCATTAAGCAAAACTGCCGAACTGTATTTTACTGGTTCACTAAAATTAGTTAGGGATATGAATTTTTTTTTAAGTGATATATATAAACATTTTTCATTTATAAAATATTCCAATCTTTCTACTATTGAACGATGTAGAATCTTGTAGCCCTTCAGTAAATTTTGTGAGTTTTTAGATTTATTTAATTTACCATTTTCGTCTTTACCAATCATATTTATAGATCCTGATACGTTGTTCAAATATAAATTTACTGTCATTATATCCGCTGCGATATATTTCTCGTCCATTTCTCGTAATGAATCTAACATGATCATAACAATTTTGCCATGAGATTTTACTGCTGTTCCATAATTTCTTAATTCAAGTTCAGAAATTTTATTTTCAAAGTTAAATAAATATTTCTCACTGTACCTGAAATATTTAAACAAATGTTTAGAGAAATTGCAATGTAATTCCAAATGGTCTAAGGAAATTGCACATTTTGTGTAAAGAAAAAGAGTTATGTATAGTCTAAGCTTCATCATTTTAACGTATTATTCACTATTGATAAATTTTAAAAAATATAAAAAAGAGGAACACTTGTTCTATAATTATTCTAAACAAAGAGTAAATATATTATTATAATTTATTAGGTTTAAGATATATTTTTATATACAGTGTTTCAGACCTAACTATCAATGTTTCTAACATGTGATACAATTATCATTTTATATGTTAAATCAATAGTTGGTTCTATTTCATATTTAATATCGTTATGATTCTATTTAATTTTTAATGATTTAAGAATATTGCATATTATATTATTATTTCTAATGTGCCAACGACTGGAATTTCACAAAAAACGTTTTAATCTTCTAGTACTTTCTTTTTTTACAACATGATGGATAAACTCTATGATGTTATAGTTGTAAAAGCCATTAAAATTAAGTGATCGTTACCATCGAAAACGTCCTACATACAATCGTTGTTTCCCAACTCAATCACACCCCTACACCACCTGGTCATAGAGTGAGTGGTAAATCAGTTGTAAACTCATATAATACAATAGTAGGTGTGGGGATGAAACTCAACTTAAACTATCTTAAGTCGGTTGGGGATTTCCTCCTTTTTCAACAAGTCCTAAAGAACATGGGGGTAATGAAACTTAACATAAACTAACCAAATCCTCCCATTTGGTTAGTTTATGTGGGGATGAAATTCGACGTAAACTAACTTGCCGCACGTCTATAGATTGTATGTAATGAATCGTTTATTATGCGAAAAAATAAAAATTTATATTCGCGTTTTAATACTTGAATGTGTCTATAGTACGTGTTGAGTCCGCGTATTTTATGTGCCGCACCCCTATTCGCAAAAGCCTACTCCACTGACTTATAAGTACATTGATATATCGCATATATTGTTAAACGAACAACGCCATGTCACCCGCCCACCATCCGACCGGTCGGGTAGGGAAGAGGTATAGCCAAATGTGATTCTAAAATGAGGCTCTAAATTAAAATTATGATAAACATTTTTATAATAACAAAGACAACGTCTGTCGTTATGGCATTATAATTTCTAAGAATTTTATCATTGCTTATCAGACGCTTAGGTAAGCATATTTCCAAAATTAAAGATGTCACCGTACAGTAATGATCACTGTGGTATGAATTTTACGAGAAAAATGGCAACGTTGTCTTTTTTCACGCCTATACATTTTATTCTTTACTATATAACCACTTCACTGCTCTATATACTGTCACGTACGTCATTCATTGACGTTAACGTACAGTTTATCTTTGAGAAAACTAAAAATTTATTATTTTAATATTTTACACACGACTTTTGTACAAGGTATATAGATTTTTACAATTATTAACTTTTTTATTTCTCTTAAATTTTAAAATAAATCCAATGCCAAATTGTATTGAGTCAAATTTTACTCTACGATTTTTATTATTTTTTTAATTTTTTTATTATTTATACAGTTACCTGAAAATGGCTTATAGCCAAAATAACTGTCACTATTTATTCAGTTTAGATTTATTTTATTGTTTCAATAAATAAATAATTACTTTTCTTTTTATTAAAGCTGCTTAGTATACATCTGTTTCGTCACGTCTGGCGGCTAAGCGTAGTAGAGCTAATAACAGGGCGGTTAGATAAAAAATGTAACGTATGCAATTGACGAATACTCGCGATTTCATCGAGATCGATTCCGCATTGGAGCGGGAGGCCGTTTGGTTTTATCGGAAGTACGTAGAAAATTTTGCGAGCTATCGGTATTTTCTGTGCGCCGTTAAACCCGAGCTGATCGCTAGACTTGCTGAAATTGCTGGTAACCGTCCGATCAATTATAATCTCAAATTGGAGGCCTGATATCATATACTGCGTTTGGAAGTACAGCCCGAGGACCGTGCCTTTAAGACACGGGTTAGGGCATTGCTATCCGATACGGATATCGAGTGTGTGGTCGATGAAGATTTTGAGGTTATGCTCGTCGAGGAAGAAGCGTACTCGGAGAGGTGTAGCGGCATTACTTAAAAGCTTGTTCGTAAATAAAAAACCCAACATCATGGCCGCATATACACTCACAAACGATGCTTCACCTGCTTTGATGACCAGTCTAAAAAGCATATTCTTCAGGTTCAACAAGCATTGGAGCAATACAAGTTGATATGTGGCAAAAATAAACCTATTTTACTTGTTATGCCGGTAGAGGGAAGTAAGGTTGAATTTGACGCGTGAGTAAAGACGCAACGGTTACCGTTTGTTATCTACGCTGAATTTGAAGCCTTGCTGGAGCAAACAGACCATTGTATAGGCGCATAAAACAGGACTGTGTACACTAGGGTGGTCCTAGGTTATAGAGAGGCAATTTTTTTTTTCAAAATCAATACACCCCTACATATTGTTCAAATAGTAAAAAAAATAAAACCAATTTTGGTCATGATAAATCAACTTTAAAACGTGTCGTGCCATAAGAGGGTTTAAAATTGATCCTTAGGGGTTGTTTTTCAGTTTTTTGAACTTAACTCAAAATCTATTAAACTTATAATAAAAGTCAATAGAACTTAATTTGTAAACCTAAATATTTACTATAATAAAGACATTTATGTTTTTTATCAAAAAGTCAATACTTTTCCGTAAAAATTAAAATAATTATCTTTTTATTTTTTACTAAAAATTTTTTTTTTTCAAGTATAAAAATATTTCATACAAAAGTTACTTGAAATTAAATTTTCTAAATTTAAGTTTTTATACATTTTTTTTAAACTTTAATACTTTTCGTGGAGAATTGAGTTTAATAAAAAAAAAAGTTCATTTTCCTGAAACGTATAAAGTTTTAATTAAAATTAAATAATAGCAATGTTTATATTTTTATATAAAAATTACTTAATTATTTTTTTTTTCGTGTAAAAAAACATTTAGTTTAAAACAATTTTATAATATACAAACAAAAAACGATATATGTAAACAAAATATTAATTATTTAAATTATTTAAAAATTATGATTTAAACTCGTATTAAAAACGAAAAGTATCCTATGAACTAACATATTAATTTATTTTTAAGTATTTTCATTTAAAGTTCCTTTTTTATGATCAGGATATTGTTTTCGGTATTCATATACGACCTGTAATAAATATTGTTTCTGTAGTTCATTATGGGTAATTTTGTTGTTGAAATCTTCTCTACTATTTTTAAGGCACTTTGATAATCTTCATTATTTTTACAATTAATAGGATTATTAGAAATGATGTGTTTAAATTAAATCTTTTAAACAGTTGATATGTATCAATACTAATGAACTGTTCGATTTCTTTATCTATTAACACATTAGCTCCTTTTGAATTAATAATTAAACGTTTATATGATGGATTATAAGATGTAAGGCCACTGTTTTTTAGAGCTTCAACTATTTTTCTTTTGGTTTCTATTGATATAGTATCATCAAAAAAAGAAAATGCACTACTCTCAGGTGTTAAGTACTATAAATTATTACACATTTATTTAATAGTGATTTGAGATATATCTTTATCTATTGAGATATATTTTAAAAGATTTTTAGTAAAATTTAAATCTTGCAACGGTGTTTTTATGGCTGAATTCGCATCAAACCATACTTTAATGTAAAAGGAAATTATAAAAATACAAATAATTTTTAATGCTGCTACTTCTTTTTCAGTTAAACTAAACTCTTTACGAATAATAAATATTTTTAAACTATAAATGGCTTTAGCCATTCATCGAGCATGAACCGGGAAGTTTAAAGTGGTAACCACCAGGTATTTCACCACTTAAAAATATTATAGCCAGTTCTAGAAACTCCTTGTAATCATCCCTTGTGTGTTTTATCTCAAGACGGCTTTTACAAAAATTAAGTATATCGTCACCAATATCCTTTAGTAATTCCATGACACCTTTATCTAGTATACCCCTTTTTTTTTCACGATCGGCATTATTATAACAACTGCCGTGAGGCATTACTTCAGGACGGCCCACGCCGTCTTAATAATTTGTAAGGTTTCAGCCAAAACAGAGGGCGTACCATTTACCCACTGCCCAGGGGGAACACTGGACAGTGACCTAGTAGCCGCGCCAAGCAAGATAGTACTTGTTGACGGAGCTACTAGGTTTTGATAAAAAAAAAAAACAAATATTAATAAAAATGAGGGAAAAGTATAGGGAGAGAGAAAAAAAAACCCAGCGCAGTGGGGTCATGGCATAGTGGGGACGTTGCATAGTTGGGTCCAGTATAGATTTAATCTGACAGTGATTAAAATCACTATTATAAGAAACGATTCGATGCAAATCTGTAGTAAATCTTTATTTTTAAAAAATTGGTTGATTATTTTTAAAGCAAAATTGACTCCTATTTCTATCATTATTCTAAGAATTTGATGGATAATTACAAAAGCAACATCAACTTCTATTTCCTTAATTATATCCAGATTAGTAATTCTTTTAATTATATATTATATAATTTTAAAAATTAATTGTTTTCAAATTATTATTGATTTTTAATATGTTAAAAGTAATCATTTTGAACCTACTTTTTTTTGTCCTTTAAAGTGAAAGTTTTATTAAAACAAAAAATGAATTTGTTACTATTACTTATAGTTCAACTTCTAAGTTTGAAATTGACATTATTAAATAGTAAAAATTTAATTTTTAAGATTAATATGCAATCAGGAAATTTTATAATTACTATTTACAATACATTTATCAGAAAAATTCGATTTTTTTTGCATTTTTATCGTAATAGATAACTGAAATATAAATAATAGTAATCCTTTCCTAATAACTTTTGGTGTTTAAAAAGATTCTGCAATTGAAATATTCAGAATTTAATTAATTTTAATGATTTACTTTAACTAAATGAACCAATCAAAACAAAGTTATTAAAACGATTTACTCAATTGAGCGTATTATAAAATTTGATTTTAATTGTAAAAATCCATCGTTACATTCAGGTGAAACAAATAATCATTTTTTTTTTTTAATTTATGATTTATATAGCAACATGTTACAAAATTGGAATAT